AGATGCTCAATGCGTATGTGACGCCCCAAGTAGAGTACGCGATTCAGACTTGGCAACCCTGGTTAAAGCGCGATCTGGCTGCGCTTGAGACCGTCCAGCGACGGGCAACATAACATGTGAAGTGTTTGTCCCACGTGCAATACCAAGGGCAACTGAAATCCCTGGGAGGTTACAGCGGAAGGTATCACCGCCTACAAGGTGACCTCATTCTGGCGTTCCAGATTTTGAAAAACCCCGGCAACGCTTGGGGCCACCTCCTGATGCTTAGCTGCAACACAGCATTGAGGGGTCATAACTTGAAACGAGCCAGTCGGCTTGAGTACCGTTGGAATTAATTTTCCCTTCGAGATTATCAATTGTGGAACACTCTTTCGACTTTAGTCATTTCAGCGCCCACGTTACCCATTTTTTTAAAACGACTCGACGATGCGCTACATCATTTACATTACATGATTTGATTTCTCTTCATTGAGTAACGAGAAGACGAAGACAAACCTTGTGCTCACTAACCCAACGAAATTGGGGTAGACGGATATACATTTATGTTAAGGTAGATAATATGGTTAGTCCACTGATGGATTTTCTCTTTTGTGTAACTTGTTGAACTAAGATTATTCCCAAAAACCATCCCACGGGAATTGTCAAACCTTGGCTTTTTTATCCGTATTATACCATTGTTCTATTATGTACGGTTACAAGTCCACTGTTCCTTCAGATGGCCAACGTACGGTCAAGAAGCCTTTTACCATTGGCAACACGGAGTCCCGGTCCGTCCATTGGCGGATTGTTGCGCTTCGTACTGGTGTTGTATCTGGATGTGACACTAAATTGATCAGTACAAGTGGATGGAAGTGTTCCTGTACAGCTTCAGTCACCGGTAGACGGCTTAATGCATCATCAAATCATCTTGTAAATCATCTTGTAAAGCAGACTTCGTCAATACGAAGGGCTTCAAAACATCGCTTACCTTCATCCCCAAGGACTAGTAGTGAAAGTTTTAACGTGTTTCTCCGAAAGAGACACGGCCAAATTCAAGATGCGAGGCAACTCCAGATAAACAAGAAAACTTTTGGCTATAGATGCCAATTGTCCAAAACGGTTTATATATATATATATATATATATATATATATATATATATATATATATATATCATGCTGTCTCTTTATTTCAAGTGGTGGGTTTTCAATTTTGTCCTATTGCTTTTCTTTCTCAAATAAATGTCCACCTGTACGCTCTTCTATAAACCTGCACAACTCGTTTAAGCCAATTGTAGGTAATTTCGATAACAATTTCGCGTTTGTGTGATTTAAGTAAAATATACTTTCTGACCCCCTGAACTTATCTCGGATCCGTTGTTAACAACTTATTTCATATGCTCATTAATTTAAGATTTTTGTCTCGTTTCCTTATGCATTACGCGATTTATTTTCTTTGTTAGCTTTCCCTCAAGCGTTTGGCTGTTGGTTGATATCCCCGGTGTAGCTGCGCTTTATGTGCATGTTGACAAGGTGCCTACCTGTCTATTACCCACTACCTCGTCCATACTGTCTCTAGGAGACAGTTGGTCGTTGCTGGAGGGGACGGGATGCACGGTTCTTGTGGCCGTGTTCGGATCAAAGAGTGGTTCCATGCACTCAGTGTGGAGCGGACTACGGTCCAGTCACCGCCTTGTGTGCGCTTGATTCCCAAATACAGCGTGCTTGTGTTTGCCTGTGAAGGAGTGTGGGCCGGCTCCGTTGATGAAACGTGGCTGCCATCCACATGCCTCCCGGTCTTATTCCTTCGGATTTACACTGGATATGGGGTGTGTGAATGGAGCTGTGGGTGGTGTAGCGCAAGCCCCAAATGGTCCCTCTGCAGGCGCAGGCGTCCTGTCGCTGGCCACAGTGACAGGCAAATCCGAAACCGGATGCCGCCAACCATATATATATATATATATATATATATATATATATATATATATATATATATATATATATATATATATATATATATATATATATATATATTTGCAACAGTCTACGAATAGACATAGGGCCATCAGAAACTATGGGACTCAAGAGAAGGTACAGAAATAGTAAATGAAATCACAACACAACACATTAAAGTCTATATTTTCGTCAGTGGGTGATTTGTGGTGTACGGCGCAGACATGTTATCACACCTCCGTCGTCAGGTGTCAAGACTAGATGTTAACCGTAGTAAGTTCGCAGCAGAAGGTAAATGTGTACGAAGTTTAGTATAATCAAGACATAACGCGGTACGGGTTACAGCATAAGAAGCACAGGTCGGCCTGCTTACACACGCATGCACAATCACTAATTTGTGAAGCAGTGTCAGTCATTGATCGTACTCAACACGCGACATATGGCAACTCCACTTTTGTGAGAGTAACATGTGACCAGCGATGTTTCCAATGCAGCTGTACTCAGCGTACTCTGATGTACCGCGCTTTCCCGCATCCAGTGCTATATTGTTTTGGATAGATCGAAGCTGAGGACACAGTATACAAAAACGTGTGGCACATTTAGAGATTTATTATGGCCGACAGGGGATTACATGCGCTGTGTAATATTCGAAGCGAATATGACAGAACTGGCTATTCCGCCGGTAGGCCTGCGAAGCAAGTTTACATGAAGTCGTTCTGAATAATTACTAATTCGGTTGAAACGGGGAAAGGAATTTGGTGTTGTTACTGGTGCTTAAAAATCACGTTGAGATCGGCGCCTTGTCGTACTCAGCTGTGGAATACCATATGTTTGGTTTGGCTTAAATAAGCGTATTCGGCGCCTTGCTTACAGCACAAGAAAAGGAAATGAACCGCTCAGCCCGTTATTTCACGCACCAGGCTGCGATGGCTGGGCCAGGTGTTACGCATGCCAGCCCACCAACTCCTGCGACGTGCGTTTTTGGATGGAAAGAGAGTGGCCAAGCGATGACTTGTTCGAGAGGAAGGAAGGCCCTCAATTTGAAGCTGGCCTCAGTTGGAGCGTCTCGGCTTCCTGGTTGCGGTTCGAAAGACGATGAACACGTTTGGCTGGATACATTTGCTGACATGCCTAGGAGCCTACCTTAGTGGCATTCGTACTGTGTTTTTTTGTCCCTCCCATCCCTCTTAGCCTCTCCCACCAACCACGATCTCATTATTTAGCATTTTATAATTTTGCATAGTACCTTTTCCTGCTGCGTAGTAGCCGGCATGTAACTTACCGAAACGATGCCCATTCTTTACCAGTACTTCAGCTGGCTTGCACCTTTTGCATTTTACTCTTTTTTCTTTTAGGTATTGCGGCACAGTAGCTGAGGTGTTTCCCACCTCTAGCTGACGTGTATAGTGTTTGTGTGTGTGTGTGTGTGTGTGGCTTACATAAGTGCGTTGAGTTCTAGTTTGGTCGTTCATGTATAGAATATAGAGGTTAGTATCCGGTTGAACAGTCAGATGGATAAGGTTGGTGGTTTGATTCTATCCGACGAGTGAAGTTCCTACTAACCTGTTAGCAGATCATATATAACAAACCACATTAAGCAGTTTCACTCGGAATGTTACGGTTCCTATTAGCGTTAATGTATCCGTTATTTACCGACAAAGATAGCGAAGCGGGTAATCCGACTGACAGTTTCACTTACCGATATTCCTGTTGGTCCGTTTGTATCACATTTTCGGTTGTATTAAATTCATGTATCCGTGGTGGGTTCCCGATTGAGTACCGACTTAGAGAGGGAGCCCGAAATGCCGAAGAATTTGGGGACGAGGTTGTTTTGCGTCTAGTACTTGTGAGCCTGCTCGGTGATGCCCTACCAGAAATGGTCTCCCTATGCGTCCTTTTATCTTCAGAATCTCGAGTTCCGGCACGATACTGTTGCTTTAAACGGTCCAATTGCAATCCGCATTCAGCACCTGGGTCAATGAATTTCACCGGTCCCAGACCCCGGCGAGCAATAGGCTCAAAATGGGACTGTTCGTTCGGACCCGAATCACTGCTTTTATACCGACCGACCATTTTGGTGTCGCATCCTTTTATGGAATATTCCTCAAGACTATCATCTTCTTCCTTTTTTATTTGGGAACTATTCGGTATCGGGTGCACACATGTTGGATGTCGGAGTGGACGCGGAGAGACGGAGTGCGACTGCGCATTGAATTCCTCGGGTTTGGTTGAGTGAATAACTTTCATTTTGTTGTTCACTAAGGTGTCGCTGTTCCGGCTCCTCCTCCGAACATTTTCCGTCCCATACAAGTTGTACTTCAGCTTCAACTGGAAACGCTGTTGACCGAATCGCAGTACGCCGATCCATTTGTTCTTAAAATGTTATTTAAAATAACAGAAAGTTAGCTCATGACGATGAAAAGTTTCCAAGGTTTACACTCTCAAATGCTTGAAACCCGCCATTATTATTTCTCCAACTTTTACTAGCATTATCGTCGGAGTGTAGTAAAACCAAAACGAAAACGATAACATTACAAATGGCCATTTGTACAGTTATGCAAGCAACTGCTCTCATAACCGCACTTGTTGTGTTTGCTTCAATATTAATTTTCTGAAAAGCATGTTCTCGACACGTCACCATGTTCACGGTTCGTAGTTGAAGGAACACCAGTCAAGTTGCGTCTTAAGGTTGTAAATACGTGTCGTTTATTTGGTTTGCCTATTCAACGTCCCTATGCATGGATAAGTTGTATGGCTACATCTTAACGGCATCAGTTTCCAGCTTCGGAGAACTATTTCTTTTTCCGTTTGCCTTGGAACGAAAACATTTACTCAGATATTTGTGGGCTACATCTGTGTCGTCTACCGTAGGGCTAAACATCAAATAGGCTCGACTTAAACCAATTCCAGAGTGAAAAGAGAACGCCATGAAAGAGACCTATTAATCGCCAACACCGTCTGCGACACAAGGCAGTTCGATTTGCTTTAACCGAAATAGCCGAAGAACTGCTTGGAGAATTTAGTTTTATGCTGTGACTTGTGAGGAAAGCAGCAGTTCAAAAGCACGAACATAATTTAAAGATATAATTAGCATCGTATGTTCTCTTGTTATTGAAGTCTCTAGAGTAACTAAGCATAATGCACATACAATGCATAAAGTTTTATGAACTAAGTGATCTATACAAAATAAAAAACACATTAACATCACTCCGGTGAATAGAGGAACGTTGAGTATACCTACAATTTTATACATTTCTTGGCTGTCATATGTGGGTTTCTGCAGATCGCGTGGCATTTGATGGTAAGCCCAATGGAAGCGTGAAACAGTAGTTAGTTCTACTGCGGATTACTTAACCTACTCGGTAGTCTCCTGGGATTGTCATCTGTCGTGAGTACGTTCTACACTTCAAAAGGATTTAGTAGGGAAAGGTGGCCATTGACAATTGAATTAATCAGGTTGACGAACGAAAACACGTGTTGTCCCATCTTATTTCGTCTTATATATATAGAAGTATGGTATAATGTTAATTTTGATTCGCAACTACCATGCAAAATCAGACACAAAAATTTGCCTAGAACTTTTACATTTGGATGTTTTATATATAAATTCTCCTTCGTGGGACACGTTTTTAGCCCTGTCCCCATAATTTGGTTCACTGAAGCGTAGCCTAGTAGAAGGTGGAGCAAATTTGCATGCACTGAAACCTGTGTCCAGCGGCTCAACTACGTAAATCTCACCGGCTTTAGTGGTCATTCAGCGTACTTCACCAGGATAAAATATCTCTAGTTAGATATCGAAGTGCAACAACGGAAAACGGCTGCCAAGTGACGGTAGCTAGTGGTTATGCATTGCATTTTGAGCTAATCAGCAAGTACAAGCTTCGGAAATGTGAACTTTAGCGTTCAGAAAATAGAGTAGCTTTGTGTTAGACGAGACAACTTAAACCCAACACTGTAGAGGCAGTCTTGGTCGTTCATATAGGGAATCATATTTGCAGCATTTAACAAATCATCCAAAAAGCACCTTGCATACCTCAAGTGACTCGTTTTGTCGATGCGATACATTAAAAGCATGTGAAAACCGTAGTTTGAAATAATTTATGTCAGCGCATCATACGATTAACATGCCTATTGAAATGGGATTGCTTGGGGATGGCCGCTATTCCCGATGCGTATTACCGAAGTAAGAGATATCTAGGAAACCGGTTATCTGTCCCTCTATACCTACGTAAGCAGTGATGATGCTATGTTCCAACTATACCTTTTACATATTTCCTAAAATACATGCTGGAATACTAACGTCATTTCCAAAGACAGGTTGATATTCTACACGGGCAATGGTAGGGAAACTTCTCGAGACCACTGCAGGGTTCAGAAGCCACATTACCTCTGAAACAACATAAACCATGTCTCTGGTACTTGAAACTGCGAAGTCAGGTCGCTTACAAGAGCACCATCCCACACTCCCTAGTATTCGAGTTAGCATTGCTAGGTTCAAGCACAAGATTTATCCTAGGCTCAGCAAATCACCGGTGCGCCGTGACTGTACACTTTACTATTGCGTCAGGGATGGCAAACTATAATGGACATTTGACAATCCTTCCGCTTCTATTTACTATTCTACGCATCGCAACTCATTGTTGCACAGCTTTGACTTAGAGAAAAGATGTGATCACTCAAATTAGAACCCTATCCTTTCACAGTAATCCCTACAGCGCGCTCTTAGGCCCTAAACAAGTGCACCATTTTTAGTGCATTCTGCTGGGGATCGAACCCATGGCGGCTAGCAGCTTATACCAACTAACTAACAGTCTATGTCATTGGGCCGTGGGAGGCGGAGGCAGACCGTCTGTACTTTCCAGCTAGCTGGAATATAGCGCAACATATCCACCACTGCCAAGAAGGTTCCTAGCGCAGCTTAGGTTGCGCTATAGCTCAGTTAGCTGACGAGATCATTCTGTGTCCATCCCCTATGGCTCATTTGCATAAGATCCCGGATAGTTAGCATAAGCTGTTAGTGGCCATCATCAGGGTCCGAGAAAATGCACAGCCCTGACTGCACCAATAGAGCGAACGGGTCGGCTTGGGGATGAAACAGTAAAATTCCTCAAAAGCCCATTTATCGGTTAGACTCACAGACATCATGCATATGTATATGTATGTAATCAATAGTTCTAGGAGTAGACATGAAATGATGGGTTTTCGAACAGCTTGTTTTCTACTCGCCATTATTGAGGAGCGCCGAGGCGACAACAGTTGGCATGGTTCTGGGGGCCAGCCCTGTCCTCTGCAAGCCGATAACTTACACGACAATGGAGTATGAGCCGTGCTGCATAACAGTCATACAATAGTCATAGAGGTTCACCGCGGACGCCTATGAGTCAGTGGCATAATTCGATGACTCGTAAGAGTAAAGTCATGTATTCGAATTCCGCAGAGTCCGGTGGATACACGCTACTGACAAGTCTCAAAGGACGAACCGGTCGGTTAGTGCCTTCTCGTGCGTGTCATTGTCGTTTGGTTGTCTAACTGACTTGGAGCTTCCCCAAAATTCAGCTAATTCATCATTGTCACTCCTAATCAGCAGGCTTGGGCTAGTCTGGAAAAGCACCAGACGCCCGCGTTTCGACCTTCTGAGTCTCCTCAGTGGTGCGCCTTCCAGCGGACCCCTGCCGGGTTCTGCCCCCATGACTTCAGGATGCCGGCATCTAGTGACACTTCGCCAAAATTGTTGGTGGGTTTACGGTGCTTTATGAATGGATTTATGTACGCAATCACT